GATGCGCCACGAAACCTGGGGGGGTGATATCGTGGCCCCCGCCACGATACCCCCCCCTGGTCATCCCCCCGCTCATGGCCACCCCCCACCCCCCGTCGCCCGCCGGGCGTGCCAGTGGGTGCACCCGCGGTCGCTCTCCGGAGGGAGCGGGTGTGGGGCCAAGGCCTCGAGCCCGAATGGCGGTGCGAGCGCGGCCGCCCCCCGAGGGCGAGGCAGGGGGGAGCGCTCCGCGGGCAAGGGAGGACGAGGAGGAGAAGGCGGAGGAGGCGGAGGAGGAGGCGGAGGAGCAGGAGGAGAAGGAGGAGGAGCAGGAGGAGGCGGAGAAGGAGGAGGAGCAGGAGGACGAGGCGGAGGAGGAGGAGGACGACGAGGAAAAGGAGGAGGAGGAGGAGGAGGAGGACGAGGACGAGGAGGAGGAGGAGCAGGAGGAGGGGGAGGAGGGCGAGGCAGGGGGGAGGGCTCCGCGGGCGAGGGGAGGACGAGGGGCCCAGCGGGCCGCCGCGCTCGCGCCGCGGGGCGCGCCGTGGCGGGAGGGTGCTCGGCCGTGCTCGGGCTCCGGGGCCCCCTCCTGGGCCCCGGGGGCCCGCTGGAGTGTAAGTCGGGCGTGTCCCACTACAGGGGGATTGTCGACGAAAAATAAAAGATACTAAAAAAACACTCCACAATAGTCAACAAAATACCCCCCAACAAAAAAACCCTGACAATTTGACTATTTTTGAAGATTCCTCCTGTAGAGGGACGGGCCCGACTCAACGCTGGAGGTGGACCCTCGTGTCGGGGGCGCGCAAGCATGGATTAGCGATCCAATGGACTTAGCGCGCGGTCGCCCAATCCATGGATCGGGGGAGGTGGCATCCTCAAAAGTGCGGCCAGTGCCGCCTGGCTCGGCGGCGACAGTCCGCGATTTCCCATGGAGACGGGACCCGTCGCTAATCCACGCCCCCATGATTCATGTTTGCGATCGCCTGATTCTGGGCGGTGGGCCCGGGAAGGGAGTGGGAAGGGGCGGGCCTGTCTTCCACCAGCACCACCATAAGTTGAAGGGGGGAGGGGGCTCCTCCTCCCCTTCTTCTTCTTCCTCCTCCTCCTCCTCCTCCTCCACCTCCACTTCCTTGCCCCCTCCAACTTATGGTGGTGGTGGTCGAAAACAGGCCCAACAGGGAAGGAGCGGGCCTGTACAGAGGGCTCGGAAGTCCCCCGGCCTTCTGAGAAGCTGTCAAAGCCTTCCCCGAAAACGCAAACATCCTCTCGGAAGCCGGGAAGCCTTCTGAGGAGCCCTGCCGCCTTCTGAGAAGGTCTTATCCTTCGCACTGCCCCCCTCGCTCGCCGCCGACCTGGAATGGGTCCAGACATCCTGGGGTCCACGGTGTGAACATCAGATCGTCGACCATCTAGGATGGAGGGCGAAGAGCACGAGAGGCCCAAATGCCTCCTCGCGCGCGCCGTGGAGAGACCACGACGGCCACGTGCGGCAAACATGTCCGTACCCGCGCCCTCGCGGTCTGGATGCCTTTGCACTGTGCCGCAGGTGCGCGGTCGCGCGGATGCGTTCTGCGCGGGGCATCCGCGGGAAAAAGCGCTCCGTGTTCGCGGGGTCGCGGCCGACGGGGCCCGGCCTCCGAGGCTGCGGATGCTGATGTGGTTGCCCCCCGCAAAAACGGCTCGGGACGAGGAGGTGGTCCCTGGGAGGGGCTGCAGAGATCCTGGGGTCCAGGGTGTGAGAAAGGACACGGCGTTGGAACGAGAGCGCAGGGGCGAGGAGGCGAAGGAAGGGGAGGGGAGGCGGAGGGAGGGGGGAGATGGAAGGCAAATGTGACACGGGGGCGCGGGCGGGGAGAGAGAGGCCAAGAGGGAGAAGGAAGATGGGGGGTGCGAGCGAGGGGCCGCGGGAAATGAAAGAGGGGGGCAGGGCAAGCTAGGTGCGCAAGCGTCTGATCTGGCGTCCTACCCCTCCCTTGCATCCCCTACCATGGCGTAGATCTCCTTTCTATTCGCACCGTCGGGTGTCGAGCAGGGCGATGTTCCCGAGAGGGTACGGGATGCATGGCAGTGCACGGCGTAGCAGGGCGTGGAAGAGCACAACAAAGCGTCACGTTCCGGGCGGAAAGCAGGCATTACGCAATACGAATCATCTAAATCAGCGGTGCGAAAGAAGCGGAACTTAACATGAGAGCCAACGCTAAAGCGGGAACACGATTTGGAAGATACGCAACAAAGAAATGAAGTCAGCTCTGCAGCGGGGAGTAGGATTCCGAACGAATGGAAGCCAGAATATTGAGCCAACGCTAAAGCAGGAGCGCCATTCGGGAAACACCGAAGGCGTTCGGATTGGAAACAACACATACGTTTGATCACCTTCGGGGGATCCGATATGTGTTAAAGCCAATACGCAGAGGGTGCAGGCTGCGACCTCAGGGTCTTGGGAGGATAGAGAGAAGTATTAATATATTGAATAACTGTCAGGCTAAATGTGTTCACGCCATCTCTGACATCCTGCCTCTCCCACCCATCCATTCCCTTTGCGCCGTTCTGCATCGTGTCGTAGCCGGCAGGAGGATGAAGGCGAAGGAGGGCGAGGACGAACAGCAGCAGCAGGAGCTGGAGAAGACAGGAGGATGAAGGCGAAGGAGGGCGAGGACGAACAGCAGCAGCAGGAGCTGGAGAAGGAGAAGAAGCGAGAGGAGCAAGAGGACCTGGGGAAAGCCGAGGAGGCGACATCGACACAAAGGACTCGGATCCAGAACACTGGCCCCCACCGGGGCGAGAGCGCCACTCTGAACGACGGGAGCAGCGCGCAGATCCGGCCACGAGGTCCACGCTGCAGAGGGAGGGCCATTCTTAGGGGGAAAACAAACCTACCTCGCTTTTGACCACCCTCGCTTCCAAGAGATACCAAACGAGGCCGCTTGACGAGGAGGCGCGTGGTATGACTTGGTTTTGCCTGGAAGCGAAAGCGGGGTAGGTAATTCACGCTCTGAATTCTGAAACACCGAACAAAAAGATCGCAACAAAGACATTCGAAAAACAGTGATCGACAACCTTTGTACCCTACGGAACGCGGCGGGAACTGGTGACGTTCTGGGCGGAGTCAGGGGAGAGAGAGAGGAGCAGTATGCAGACTGAGACGATGTGGAGAGGAAGAGGGGAGGGGAAGTCAGGCGGGGGGCCCCACGTGGCGAGGGGTCCCGCGTGGCGAGGAACGTCAGAGCAGAGCATGGGGGAGAGGGCGGGGGCTGAAGCACGGAGAGGCCCGGGGGAAAAAAAGGGGCCCGAAGCCATGGAAGCAGGGCGGTCGGAAGGGGAGCGGCGACGAGCACGACGGAACGAGAAGGGAACGCCATACAGGCTATACACCCACCTTGGGCCCAGCATCGGCCTGGTCTGAGCCGGCGTCGGCTGATAGCCAGCATCCCCCTGCTCATCTGAATCGTCCTCCACCTTCGCTTGACCTCGCTGCCGTGGGAAGTACGGGGTGAATGCTTCGCGGGTTCGGGTCACCGTTGCCATCCGAGGCCAACAACCAATCCCAAACTCCACCGTACCAACTATCTCCAGACCAGCTCCGCCCACTATTCATCATCGCCAATCAATATTCCTTTTGAAAGACTTGCCCCTGTCGCACAGCCGGGCGTGACTGTAGGCCAAGCCAGACATGTCGCTTGTGAACGCCGTAAAACTAGACCCGGAAACTGCACGACTCCAACAATTACACGAATGGAGGGCTGGTCGTTTTCAAACAATGCGGATCTCGCGTTGGCGCCGCGCGCAATCGTCTTAAAACACTTGCATATGCTACAAGGATGGATGCCAGCACGTTTTCGAAATGCGGCTCCGACTTGAGCCTTCCTTAAACTCTATGGCCCAGTACGCAGATGTAGGGCGGTTCCTCTTCACCATGGGCCTGCTGTGAGCCTTCCAGGAATGTTGTGACCAGGACATCGAAACGTTGTCATCATACCTGTTTGCACTTCTTCTGGCCAGAAAGTTGAAGGGTGAAGCCTTCACACAGCAGGGTCTCGCCTTGCGTGGCAGGCGCAGCGGGTGCTCGTCATTCAGAGTGGCGCTCCCCGCAGAAGAGGGGAATACTCGCAGGGGCTCGTGCGTTGGGGGGCGCTTGGGACGGGATGGGGATGATTGCAGCATCGTTGATGCATCCTGTCCTGTGTTTACTCTGGCCATCGATCCTTCTCCTCCTCGACCTCCTCCTCACCCCCCTCCTTCTCCTTCCTGTCCTTTTCCTCATCCCGACAATCATCAACCCCCGCCCTCATCGACACTCGTCCTGGCAAACACTCCGAAGCGGATCGGCCGTGGCAACGAGGCCCGTCGGAGACCAAGAGGGACCAAGAACGTCAGGTGCGCCTTCCCCTCCGAGTGTGAGGTGAGGGTAACAGGAGGGACAAGGGGAAACTATGAACAAGCATAGTCTCCTGCCTGCCGCTTGGAAGAACTGCTGGAGATGACGATCAGGTAATCTCAACGACGGCAACGCCCACGCGCAGGCCTGTAACCCGATGAAATGATCCTCGCCCAGGGCCATGCTGCGTGAAGGGATCCTCGCGCCTTCTGGGAATCGTCATCCTGCTCTGCTCCTCATGTGGCAACTCATTGGAGCCTCCCATGCCATCTTGCTGGGTTCTGCGAAACAACGCTGACCGACTCTAATCGATGCGAATCGGCGACATAATCGCAAAAAACACTATGATGGAGACTACGGTGGTGCTTTCTCGCTGATTGCCACACGGAATTACACAAAGACATGCAGAGCTCCCGTGATTTGCGATTGAACTCATGAGATGCTGGTTCTGGAGACCTTCCGTAGGCCTCTCGCTCCACTCACGAATCGATGATGTGTCGAACGTCCATGGACTTAAGTCAAAATTTAGTCGAGTTCGAGTCGTCCATGGGTCGAACTTGAATCGAACTTGAGTCGAGCTTGAGTCAAGCTAGAATAGAACTAGAAATAAAGTAGAGTCGAACCGATCCGTTAGGTGATCCTCAGACAAAGTCCCCCAAATGAGCATCCTGGAGAGCTGGAAGGACCGCGCGCGCGTTCGCACGACTCGGCTTTGTTCCGGCGGGGGCATCACAAGGTGAAACCAGGCATCGCGGCGCCGGCGCTTCTGGAACCTCGGGGGAGGGGCAGGATGGGGAGGCGGAAGAGGGGGGAAACACGAAGGCAGAATCGAGACATAATCGGACCAGCACAAATCGAGAATCTCTGCGAATCGGCGAGTTTGGAGGTTTTCCGAGCGTTCCAGAACGCTCTGAGAGCGTTCTGGGACGCACTGGAACGGATGTATCCTCGTCTTAGACCCACCCGACCGCAGGAGGGAAGGCGCAGGAAGACAGACACGAAGGAGAAGGTTCAGGAAGGGGGGCAGGACGAGGAGGAGAGCTGAGGAGACGGAGGGTCAAGACTGGAGAGGGAAACAACTGCCACACAGGAGAGCTGACTGTAAGAAGAAGGGAGACTTCGGGGGGGAAACTGCAGGCCTGGACGGTCTGCTCAACAGGAGAAGGAAGCGGAGCACAAGAAGCCATGCTCGAGCAACTCATCGCTTCATCTTTCGTCCTCATGCTCCCTTCCTCTCCTCTTCTTCTTCTCCTCCCTTTCTTTCCCCCTGAGAGTTCCTCCAGCTACCTTCTCATCCTCCTCTCCAGTGTATCCTTGTCCGTTCCTCTCTCCTCCTGCTCCAATGAAATCCCCAAGTCGCCCTGACTTGGCTTATCCCTGGGCCCTGGGACACTGAAACAAAAATGCCACACCTCTGTCCTGTTGGAGAGCCGCTGTCCGCTGCCGCGGGCGTCCACCAGCGCAAGTGTCCCTGGACAACGAACCAAGCCTCAAAACCGTGCGGTCATCCCACATCCCAACTGATTCACCACAAAGTGTGGCTATCGCACTCGTTGGGGGCCCACGATTGTGGACCGCACCAGAAGGTCACTCCGCCGAAGGTCACTCTTGCGCACAGCCGAGTGACGTGACCCCCTCACCCCAACCGGGTCTGGGCAGATGGCTGGAGAGAAGTCTGTTGGGACGAGCAGAAGAGAGGGGACGTGCAATCCTCCAGCCCCCTCGAACGCCGACAGGGGGTTCCGATCCCTCACCGTCGATCGGGCCCCACAGCGACTCCTGACTGCTCCCTGCCCCTACCAACAGACACGGGGGTAGGCTGGCGCCTCGCTCTGCCCTGCGCCGATTGCGTAACACGAGCGAACCACATCGGCCGAGAACGCCTTGACCGAAACAAAACTGCAAACGGCCACAAAACAACCAGCCCTGGCTGGTTCCGTCCTGGGCCCTGGACATGGACCGTCTTTGCATACGTGGGCCATTGGGGAGCGTGTACCAGTCGAGGTTGCAAGATAGGCCTGCCATGAGCTGGTGGTTATGTATTAGTGTGATTACCTGTCGACTTGAACCATTTGTTTCTAGCTTTTGCTGCATCACCACCTGGTGAACAAGCTTGCTGTACATACTTGTCGATGCATGGTAGTAGCTTCGCTGAGTCTCATCGCTTTGTGCGATTGCACTCCAGGAGGGGTGACACGGAGCAAAAGTGTCGAACTCCAACGAACCTGCAAGGGAATGCCCTCCATCAATCATCGTATCACGCCTCGTCCTGAATCCTTGATTCCACTCCAATTCGCGAGCCCCACCTTTTGGTGGCGTTTGACTCGACATGATCTCACACATTTGCGGATCTGACTGATGGACTGCGGCCGCGAAATCAACAAAAGTGGCCATTGCTGCTGAAGGGGAAAACGGGCAACACCTTTAATCGGCCGGCCGAGGAGGAAAAAGAAGACGATGCGTATTCACCCCGACGTCCAGACTCGTAGGGTCCCGAGCCCACCTGTGCCCGGACTACCCCGCGCACGCTTTGACCCCGAGGACCCATGCGGGACCCTGGGGGGGTGGCCGATCCGGAATGGCAGCCCGTCGTGCGGCCGTTTTCTCATGGCGCTGGACACCTGGGCCCCACGCGCGCGCTCACTCGTCGGTGATCTACTGGCCCGGATCCTTGCAAATCCGGGTCAGTCGGGCTTTGCAGGCTCATGCGAAATCCTGCAGACTCCTGCGCACTAGCCAGGGCAGGTGCAACTCTGGCCTTGCAGGGTCCCGCAAGACCCAGCTCTCTGGCAGACCCTAAGTGCACTGACTCCCGTTTCCAGGCTTTCGGCGACGTCCAATGCCTCGCTGCCCGCGTGGGCCGGGCGGGCGGGCGGCCGGGGGGGGCGACCTATGATGCGCTCGCTCGCCGTGGTGCCGCGCGACCGGCCACCAGTGCCGCCGATGGACTCGTAGCCGCGGGAGGCAGCCTGACAAAGGGGCCCTCGATACACCCTCGTCGCCATCGGCCGTTCCTTCTGAAAGCGACCAAGCAAACGAAGCCAGCACCGCCGCAAACCCCACGGCGAGCCGTGCGTCCAAGACGAAGTTTGCCCTGGTGGCCGAGGCACCCTCCCCAAGACGTAAGGCCGCACGTCAAAAACAAAGGCTCGGCAAGATATACATACATACATACATACATACATACATACATACATACATACATACATACATACATACATACATACACACATGCATGCATGCATGCATGCATGCATGCATGCATGCAAGCATGCAAGCATGCATACATACATACATACATACATACATACACACAAGGGAGCGCGTTTCACGGGCGCTTGCCTGGGGAACATTCGGCGGCGCGTTTCGAAACGGGGGGCGGGACCCCCCCCAACACTCAGCACAGTCGATCAGAACCAGGGGGACTCCCCTCCCCTCCCCCCTAACAGTCAGAACTTAGGTATGCATAGAGTGTTAAGTAGAAGCATGATGCAGAGCATGTAGCAAGCAGTTACTGTACGAAGACGTCTTGGGTCAAACGTACCAAACATCAGACTTTGGTAGCAAAACTGCCGGTCCACGGACCCGCAATTTTTCGGTATCGAACCCTGTTTTCGATACCACAGGTACTCTACATATTGTGGATTCTCTCTTCGGGTTCGAGGAGAAGCAGGAGCCCAGCGGCTTCGAGCTCACGAATAGCAGCGACACGGACAATTACGAGAGGCTGAGGCACTCCTGACGTCGGCGACGAGTCGGCGACCCGGTACGATCACGAGGACAACCACTCCAAGATTGATACACTATGGCAGGTGCAGCTGACCTGCGCGGACTACCCCTTGATGAGTATACACGACAGTGTCCACCAGGATGGCGACCTTATGTACAAAGCTTCCCTCTCAAGACATATGAGGAAAAACTGAAGTTGTGGATGCGTATGACAGATGTTCCAGTGGATTGCCAAGGGAGCGTTGTTGTTGGCAGGCTGAAAAGATCGGCGTATCGCATTGCTATGAAGATTCGGTTACGACGGCAAGATGGAAATTTGCTGGTTGAGGATGAAGCCGTCAATGCCTTTTGCGAGCCTGAAGATGCGGCTCAAGGAATGCCAGCTACCCCCTCGGGTCTACAGCAGATCGTGGCCGACCTGAGGACGGCCGTCGGCGACGACAGTCAGGACTTGCAGGCATCTCATTTGGACAAATTCTTTGAATTGCACCGCGGCTCTCACAGCTTGTTGGACTATTTGACAGCATCCAGATTAAGATATGAATCGGCTGAGGAGCATGCGGCACTGAATAATGATCACGATGGATTGACACACGTATTGCTTGACAAGGCTGGACTGGCCCCACGAATTATAGACGATTTGATGCTGAAGGTAGATGGAGATCGTGGCCAATTCACTGCGATATACAAGCTGCTCATGAATTTCAGTAGAAAGGACAGAAGGAGTTCGGCGATGGCGGAGACCAGGCTGGCATCTTACTGCAATAATACCAAGACGACGAGGAAGCCCCTGAGTACAGTAAGGTTTAATACTTTAGAGGTCATCAAGGAACGTGGTCTACTTATGATTATACGTATGCGCAGGCCTATTATTCGGACCTTGCGAATGAAGATCTGGATCATATGGCATACATGGCAAATGACCACTGGGATGGCACCTGGGACGATGAGGAATTTCAGAATTGGCATTATCATGGCGAAGAAGACGATGATGACTATGATGATGGTACGGAATACGAAGAACTACTGGACGACCCTCTCGACCCGTCTCCAGGTGACCTCGCTTTCTACGGGAAGTTCGGCAGAAAGAAGAAAGGAAAAAGGTTACGGCAACAGCAAAGGCTACGGCAACCGACGACGAAGCTACAGCAAAGGATCTGGAAAGCGCTCTCGCACGTTTGGACGAGGCAAGCAAGGTGGCAAAGATCGGCGTGGCGCAGCTCACTTCGGCGGCGAAAAGGGCAAAGGTGCCAAAGGCTTCGGCGGCAAAGGCAAAGGCAAGACAGGCAAAGGCACTGATCACGGTGGAGCTCCAGGCCCCACTCTCGACCTACATCAACAACATACTGGCGGACAACAAACCTTTCCTACCAACGCCTAAGGTTCGCGCTCATCGGCTTCCGGTTGCGAGAAGTGCGGCAAGCAGATTGCATTCGGTGAAGGATTGCCCGGTCAGTAAGCAAGCGCAAAGAAAGGTGAATTTCACAGGCAGCAGCAGTGTTTCGTTCATGACCCGGGCGATGGATATCAAGCTACCTCCACCTCCGACGCCACCAGACGACTGTCAGAGACACTCTCAACCGAGAGCTGAGCAGCGATTTGTCCAAGAACACATGGCTCAAAATAAGCGCGAGATCGCTGAGGAACCAGATATTCATCAAGCTACAGCACCTGCAGCAGAAGTCGACGAGCACGATGGGAAGGTGCCGTGGTTCAACGAGAAGGGCGACTCACGACGTAAAGGACAGTCGTCGGCAAGTGACTCTGGCAGTTCGTGGATGAACGCTTCTGTGCATGACTTACCTCTTGAATCGCGGGCCACGGGTTCTGATGGCGCCGAATCAAGTATTCCCAAATCAATGATCAACAGGATTTTCGACTTCAGCGACGCAGCTGTGAAGAAGACTATTACTAAGGATCGCGGACATGCCTCTCGAATTGGCTTGGGCGCACAGTCGCCAACTCAAGACTACCCAGTGCTACCATCGAGACCTCCGCGACCTAAGGAAAACGAAGCACCGGATGAGGTCTCGATTCAAGAACAGGGATCGTTGCAAGATCAGCGAATCTCATTTGTTCATGGAGTATCTGCGGAACGAGAGGATATATTTGAAACCTATCATCTCATCAAATGCAGACAGCGTCGTGGCTTTATTGTGGATCCAGGCGCAGCATCAGGCATATGTGGAACTGACACTATGCTCAACCACAATGGCAGGAGCAGCAACGACTACACGATCACCCCAGGCAAAGGCAGCTTCACTGGCATCAACGGGAACCCTACTCCAGGACTTGGGCACGTGTTGGAGCTGGTTTGGCACGGAGATCTCATCGGTGATCAAGGATCAGGCTGTCCATTCCTACTGCCTTTGCCTCCAATGATTCACTATCGTGCGTTATCAAACCATGGTCTCATGGATGACGGCAGTGGGGCGCTTGTGCTTAGATCAAATACGGACGACACCGATGTCCACATGCTGAAGGTACTCCTGACAGACAGCAACCACTATCTGTTGCCCACTGACGATCCTGAAGGACAACAGCGCGAAGCAGCTTCGGTATCAACTGATGTGAGGGATATGTTGCAGCACGATGTCAAGAATATCAACGACCGCATCCTCAAGAGGGGCTCTCTGGCTCTTTCGGTTTCTTGTGCCCAGGAGGACCAGAGTGTAACTTCGCTCGCATCAGCTACCAAGGACCTCAAGCAAGACATGTACCAGGAGAGCGGCAACATGGAGGATAATCACACAACATGCGACACACACACACACAGCGCGATTGAGTCAACGATTTTTGCCAGCACCAAAACGGATCCTGACATGAGGCAGCACTGGGGGGGACATGTCTATTCTGAGGTTTGTTTTCCTGAGCATCTCGAGAAAGAACACAGGGAGTGGCTCAAGCAACGATGCAAGGCAATACCAAAAGAATTTGCACGCGGTCAGGTTTGGAAATGGTCACCCTGGACAACTTCGAGGTGTGGCTCAAACAACGTCGAGATCTTCAAACGGTTTGGGCGTTTCAGGAGCAGTGGTCAAGATCAGAACGATTGTCGATGATGGCCCTGCGCTCAGGACTGACGGTGCTATTTGCAGTTGACTATAGGCACGGCTGAGACATGATGAACAATAAGCATCGCAGCTACATCAGCAAGGTGCAGATGATCTTCAAGCCTATCGCCTATCGTAAAGCTCTCATCTCCTGAGTGCAGGCGTTGGACAGCCATGTGCAACATGCGAGGAGCAGGAGTTGCAGCAGCTGGGCAACAGGAAAAGTGTCCAATGCTCGAGTGGTTATTCAACGACAATGTGACTCAAGATGGAGATGGTCATGGCTACATCAACGAACATGGCCTTCGCTCACAGATATGGGCTCAATCACCGTTGAAGCAGAACGTCAACATTGCGAACAAGAAGACCAGGCGGGCAGACGGATGTGCACATGGCTGCGTCAACGCGGACAACCAACCTTTGGGAAAAACCGCATCGCTTCGACACCACCATTCAAATGAAGAAGACATCGAAGCGCTGCCCGGGACATGGAGTTCAACGACATGCAGCGATTGAGAGCTCAGTACCAGGACAAAGAATGAAGACGGCGGCCTACACCACGGTAGACACGAGGCAAATGCGCAAGAGTTTGGTCTCGGACATCACGGCATTTGCAAGGAAATTTACTTGCGCACTGGTATTGGCGACCGCAGTCTACTCCAGTACGGCGTTGCCTCAAGGACCTCATGGAGCAGACACACTTCGAGTTCAACTGATACATCCCAAAACTACAGCTCCAGTTCTTGGTGCCGAAGGCTCAGCAGCATCCGATATTATCATCACGGACGGTGTTCTGGAACCAGGTCAATGGCGTGGATTTCACACAAGGCTCAGACTGGCACTACCCTCAGACACTGCAGGCCAGCTCTGGCCTCGTTCGGGTCTGGAGTTGAGGCAAGGTCTCGGCATACATGGTGGAGTTACCGATTCTGACTATCGTGGAAAACTTATTGTTATTCTTGAGAAGCGAGGCAACAGCCGTTTCACGTGCCATTGTGGCGAGATCGGATCGCACAACGCATAGCCATACCAACCTCGAAGGCTAAGATACAGATCGAAAAGGGGATATATAACAATGAGACACTTCGTGGTGACCAAGGCTTTGGCAGCACGGGAGATAGTGCGACACACTGGAACGATGCCTCTGACATCGGCGCCTATGCACCCGACTCACGCAGGCCGTCGGC